ATGAAGACATTTACCATTTTTGTTAGGAGAGAAATTTTTATTATATATTTTAAATNATATATGACTTATATTGCAAATAAATTTTTTCATTATTATATAATGGTGAATTTTTGATATTAAAAGTACAAGTTGTTATGCTTAATGTCTAAGCATATCAACTAAGTGCATTTATGTATATAAATTAGAATACTACATGTATTTAATATCAAGATTAATGGACATAATATTTATTCTAACAATTACTTTTAAAATTAAATTATACATTAAGATAATAATAATAAATAAAAACTTTATTATTATTATTATTTACAAATAGCCGTTTTCAGAGTGAGAAAATCCTACATTGAGATATGACAATGTGGAGAAAAACAAATCACATGACATAAGGATGTTCTCCAAAATTATATTGAAATGTATGGACTTTATCCCATCTAGTTAATTAACAATTACAATAAATAAACCAATTTGATAAATACTAAAAAAAAATATTAAATCTCCATTTAATGACGTCTGCTTTTACAATTGACAACTTTCTATTCACAGTTTTATGAAATGCTGTATTTTGTTTGTCATCATCTTGATGCGGTATTATATAGTTCATTTTATATTTCCAGGAATATAATATCAATTTATGAAACTAAGCTTATGGTAAATACAATGGTTCATTTAACAGCTTTCCAAGAATTACTTAAATGTAAAAGCAAATATCTACTGTGCAATTTGTAGTTTGTATTTTATGAGGTATAATTAAAAAAATGCATTACAGTACTCTCTTACTAATCCAGCCTCTCAATCATCTGGTTTAAACCTCCATTACAATATGTTGCTTGTCTCTTAGTTGTGTGTGTTTTTTTTAAATACATACAGTAGAGTTGTAATAAATTTAATAAAGAACTAAACATATAATTACTGTATCACTGTAATTTAAAAAAAAAAAAGACAATACCATAGAATGACAGATCTCATCAATCATTGCTTTTAGGTACACTATAAACCTATACTATCTCAGTAACCTGACATCTCTGTGCAAAGAATGACCAGATTAAGTGTCTAGTGTATATAGATGTATATGTTACTTGCTATATTTTTTTTATATACAGTATTAAAAAGATATGCTTTACATAGAAAATATAACACAATGAAAATAGTCCTGGATTTATTTAGCTTTAATGATAATTCAGATCTCCTTTGCAGCTTTTATAGTATGTAATTTCCATATAATACTGCTCATTCAATTAACAGTTTAATAAATAGTAATCAGATTATTTGTTCAAGGTTCATTCTAAGAACGAAATATATTTTTTTAATTTTAAGTCTATTAAACATTTAAGAATCAAAATGAATATGCTATTAAACGAATCATTCAACAATATCATATATAGGTAGGTAATGCTTTTGCAAAGTAAAACAAAAATTGCAGGTCCAAGTCTCCTTTGAGTATCTTTCCTTCCAGAATCTCATAAATTGGTTTAGTTTTAAATTAATATTTAATTAATCTTAATGTAAGATGACAATTAACTGCCTATCTTTAAGGTAAATTCAATAAATTCATTAATTACTAATTAGCTTAGACCAAAATTAATCTAGCTTGGAAATGTTTCGCTATTAGAAGTTTGGCTATATTTATTTATTTTGTATGCTAAAGGAAATGTCAGCTAACAATTGATTATATTTACTTGTTAATATTATATCTTTTAAAGTAGAATACTCATGCACATAGACTCACATTATAGAGAGAATGTCATACAATTCATTCATCTCATCAAAAATAAAAATAAAATATCTTCATGCATCAAAGATTTATGTCACAAACTTTCTATAATCAAAAGTAGTAAAACAGGAAATTTGCAGCGAAAGTACAAAAGAACATTTGTATAAATAACAATGATTTTACACTTAAAATCTACAACATTTATAATTGTTTTATTCATTTTAATGCCTTTCGTGACCTTTTTCAAGTTCAGATTCTATATTTGCACATCTTTGTAAAAGTAGATTATTAAATTCATACTATCAAGTTACAATATCTTACTACATAATAAATACTTTCCAAAATTATTATTCAACCAAATAAAAAAGGGGGCCCTTTTGTCAAATTATGACATTCTGTAATTTGATTTAGGAGTAATTTTTCTTACTGATAAAACAATATTTTTGTTGATAATAGCTACATTGTTAATTTATAATTTCAATAAAACAATTCAAAAATTAAATTCATTCACAAAAGTTTGTTATAAGAATTATAATAAATTAATTTAAACGAGCAATTATTTATTGTGACATCATCACAATGCCTGGCTGCAATTTTCAATCATATTTTTTGTTTATTTAATTTAAAATATCTGCTCTCCATCTCAAATTAGCAGTGGCTTGCCCCTCTGTACATCATACTTTTCCTTTAAAAATAGAGTTGTGTCAGTCATCTAAGACCTTTTGAGGGAAAATTTTTGAACCGAAATAACATGACTTCTGGTTTGCATCAAAAACTCATATATAGTTAAATCGGGGCCTCCCGCCCTCAGGTTTCCATATCTGTTCTTGGATTTCATCTCTCTCTGTTCTCGAGATTAAGAAAAAACAGACAGAAGGATGAACAGTGAGAATTTATAGATTTACAATTTTTTTCAAATTGCGGTCCAAAATATTCCTTTAGAACAGTGTTTCTTAACAGGGGCAATATCGCTCCCATGTGGGCGTTTTCCATGTTGAGGGGGCGACTAGTAACAATTTATATTTTGGGGGCGAAAAACAATTTTCTGGGCAATATAGTAAAACATTACATTAAGAATAATTAGATATTTTATTCGTTATATTGTACAATAATTAAACAAATAACATTATACTAGTCACTAGTCTATTCAATGCAGTACGAATTTGGCGTTAGTCTTGGTCCTCGGCATTGGAATTTTGAAGTGAAGGGGGCAATACTATGTTGAAGGGGGCGACGATTCGTTAGAGGTTGAGAAACACTGCTCTAGAAGCAAATTCTCCAACAAAGAATTAAAGAAAATAAATATTTATAATTTAAAAAAAAAAAAACGCAAGACAACACATCCACAAAACTGATAGAAAGTTTAAAATATTTTGGGATAAGTATTTTAAATTGTTAATAAGTTTACAGCAAAAACTTCTGATGAAAATCATTATTATATATATTATTATAAGAAAACATTCTAAAAATCCAGGATGACACATATTAAAGCAACCAAAGCCAAATAACAGGCTAGAAGTGGCTATAATAATAATAATTTGGCTTTGGCTGCTTTAATGTTTATTGGGTTAGCTGATGTTTGTTTATATGACACATATTTAAAAAAATATAAAAAACATACAATACCAAAGACATACAAAAAAGTTTTGCAGTCTTCTTAAACATCCTTTGGCCATCACCAAAATACAATCGATATTGTATATTTTTTATATTTTTTAAATACGTACGTTACTGTGCCGAGAAGGCGAGACGAAGCACGTTTCTGGTCAAACACAGGACTCCAAGCTCTTCCAGAAGTTGCAATAATACATAAATAAAACAGATAAAGATGGCTTTTGTATCGCATTTCTACCTTGGAGAGGGTGTCTAGACCAAACCACCCTGCACGTTATATATATATATTATGTATGTGGTATATATATATATATATATATATATATATCCACCTTTTTCTCAACAACTACAACTAATTATATCAACATACTTGACTTTTTTGCCTAGCATAAATTATTTTATTTCTCTAACGTTTTCAACCTACTTGTTATAGGTCATTTTCAGGCTTATGATTACTGTTCCAAAATGGAATGCATTGTTTTTTTAATACATTTCATTTTAAATTTAAAAGATTTATAATAATTGTGTATATTAAATAAATGAAATAATAAATAAATACAATAAAAAAATAACAAATAAATAAAACAAGAATAAGTATAACCACTACAAGCTTTAAGGGTTTGTAATACCTATGCTTTTTTCTATCATATACTTCCACGCTGTTGAAAGCGCATTAGCATCCTTGGCATTTAGGCAAGAGTTTTTCATTTTACTTTTATATATTATTTATATATTACTTATTATAAGCCTGAAGATGGCCTATAATAAGTAGGTTGAAAATGTTAGATAAATAAAATACAACTCTCCCTTGATAGTCCGACGTTTTTTAATCCGACACGCTCAGTAGTCCGACACATCTCCCATCAAGGTACCCATCCCCATTACGCATCTGCTTGCACAGAAGCGTGTTGCGACGTGAATCTCCCCATCCAATTTTTATACAATGACACACATTTCGTGTGTTTTCTGTGAGCAGTTGTGTGTTTTCTGTGAGCAGTTCTGTTCGAACAGTTGGAGTAGGGAATATCGTAAGCTACTGCTAGCAAAACAATGGAAAAAATGTAATTATTTTCAGTAATCCAACACCCCTTTGGTCCCATACCTGTCCGACTATTAAGGGAGAGATGTAATTTACGCTCGGCAAAAAATTCGGGTGCGTTGATATTTTAACAGATAGAAAAAAATTTAAACGTACGAGAATTAGTAATTAAGCCTGGATTAAGATTCGAGGTGTATGCTATGTGTTTTTAAACTGAATACAGGGAAAGTATTATTTTATTTAGTAATTTACAGGAGATTTTCATCAGATTCTTATGTAACTAGTGTTTATGATAATACCCAGTAGTGTTTATGATAATACCCAGGAACACTACTATGTAGTGTTCCTGGCTATTATCATACACTACCACATTTATTTAAAATAAATGTGTTTGAAAGGTAGTGTTTATTATCATAAACACTACCTTTTAAACTGATAAACTAGAATGAAGAGCATAAAGCAAGGCATATATGAAAATAAAAACGAAGTAAATAAATCGTAAATACACTAAGACGAAGGAATTAAACGATAAATATTGGAATATTTCATACATTTTGAGACTTTTCTGCTACAAACAATAGAGAAGTTAGGCCTAATTTGCTTCGTACGATTACATAAAAGAAGTGAATATGATACCATTTTCTAACTTTATCGATGGCCTGCATAACCCGCTTGATGTCATCTTTCGCCCTGCTCCTTGTTTCCGCTCGAATCGATCTCGACATCATCTTTTCCTGCCACAAAGTTTATGCGAGTTGGCACCTTCGTTTGTTACCTTCGCTTCTAATCACCTTCCCGTCGCCTTGGCAACCGACGCTTACTTCGCTGGAAGCGTGACGTAATACGAGTCGCTCCTTCGTTTATTCGCTTGTATAACTGAAATAAAAATATTTCCTCCTTCGTTTTTAATCGTATAAAATATACGCCGCACGATTTTATATACGTTTATTACGAGTATATTAAAAAAATAACGCATTAAGAATTACGTAATTTGTGACGTTTTAAAGTTTCGTAAATGTACGTTATTATATTGTGATTTAAAATACATTTGGGTTAATGTTTAGGGTCGTAGACTGTCATGGCGGCTCTTCCTGTTTTAGCCTCGAAACCAGACCGCTTTGAAGACAACGTGTCACGTGACGACGCGAGCGAACGGCGGGATAAACGGGGAAAACAGATGCGCGGGTTAACGTCCATATACGTAGACTCATGGCGGCTCATCTCTGATTCCGCAAAAAGAGAAGGAAACAGTGGGGACGCACGTTCTAACCTAACCTAACCTATTCTAATAATTTAATCGGTAATAATTGTGGTAATTTATTAGAATAGGTTAGGTTAGGTTAGAACGTGCGTCCCCACTGTTTCCTTCTCTTTTTGCGGAATCAGAGATGAGCCGCCATGAGTCTACGTATATGGACGTTAACCCGCGCATCTGTTTTCCCCGTTTATCCCGCCGTTCGCTCGCGTCGTCACGTGACACGTTGTCTTCAAAGCGGTCTGGTTTCGAGGCTAAAACAGGAAGAGCCGCCATGACAGTCTACGACCCTAAACATTAACCCAAATGTATTTTAAATCACAATATAATAACGTACATTTACGAAACTTTAAAACGTCACAAATTACGTAATTCTTAATGCGTTATTTTTTTAATATACTCGTAATAAACGTATATAAAATCGTGCGGCGTATATTTTATACGATTAAAAACGAAGGAGGAANCCGTTTCGGAGTTGTCTTATAATCGTCGACCAGATTCTTCTCTCAATCCGCTTCTTACGGCCTCCTTCTGCAGCGCTCCCCCAACTTTTTGTTCCAGAGCCTTCTGCCACACGTCTCTCGCTCTCCGAGTCCGGCCTAAGAGTGCCTAAAAACCCTTTGTTTTCCTCTCTCCCAGCCCCGTTTTCGTCTTTTGTTCTAAGGCTACCCCCTGATGGGTTAGGGGTGAGGCGAGTTCTTGGAAATCCGAGACAAAGGAACAAAGAAATCGGAAGGAAGGAAAGTTCTAGAATTTAAATTAAACTAAAACTATACGGACTAATAATAATAATAATAATATTAATAAAAGAAAAACAGGCGTGTAGCCACACTATATATATATATTCATACATAAATGTAAGGGCCATCTCTTCCCAAAAACTACAAGCATATATAAATAAAAACAGGTGTTTCAATAAACAGAGCTTTAATTAATATCACCCCACGCAAAAAATATTTTCCACTTATTATTGATTAAATTAATCCGAATTCTTACGACACGAAATTCTCTTGTGCATCAATAATTCGACTTAACCAAAAGGGTCTTTAATTAATGGCCTTTCTATTTAAGTCAAACTATTCCATTCCTTAAGTACAGTATGGAATGCACAGTAATGGCTCTTCTATACTGTACTTAACTAGTTGTATATTACGAAGGGCTAGAAATTTTACTTCTATAATTAATTATTAAGAGAGTTTACATTCAAAAAGTCCACTACCCAAAGAAAATATCATCAAGATTTTAATTGCAAACCATATCAAGTCGTTAAATTTGAGTTAAAGTGCTCGTTATCGCCAAAAATTTACGATAGCAATTTGAATGTTAGTGTTTACTTTTATGTTACATAAAATTAATTTTGCAATGTAGTTATCAAATTGAATATAAATCGAAATATTTTATATTCTAACTGCAAACAGAAAAATGTTACATAAAAATATTATAGCTAAACAAATAAAAGGACATCGGCAATAACTTCCACGTTTCGAGGCAACAGAAAAATTGTAGTCGCTATTGGATAAAGATGTTTTAAAACGCGAGGAATATAAAATCTTTGATAAATCTTGAATTGTTTGTCGCAAAATATCTTTACGAGATGTCGAAGGAATCTACCAAAAAGGTGGTCCATACCATATTAAGGTCATGGAAGCTCCTACTTGGTGTTTTGATTCCCATCCTCTTGCTTCCTCTCCCTTTAATTATACAGAAAGATGTAAGTTGGCATTTTAATTCTTCTTATAAATTTCAACAAAATTTGATATAATTTGCTAATTAAATATTGCAGGAAGCAAAATGTGGTTATGTGGTATTATTAATGGCATCATATTTTACCTTCGAGCCGATACCACTCGCTGCAACGGCCTTTATTCCCGTGTTTCTCTTTCCAATTTTAGGAATTTTAGGCACCGAAGAAGTCTGTTACACTTATATGAAGGTAAAAAAAAAAAGATAACGTAATATTGGATTTTTTTAAAGTATTGATTGTAATTTTACAATTTCAGGCTACCATAATGATGTACCTCGGTAGTTTACTCCTGGCTGCTGCGGTTGAACATTCGCAACTTCATAGAAGAATTGCATGGAGAGTGCTTATGCTCATCGGTACAGGACCCAGATGGTAAATTTTTTCATTATATTTTAAGCCTTTTCGGATGGAAATAATGTCTCTGGGTAATTCCATAAGGCTTGCCAGCATTCAGAATAACAAATCCCTAAGTGTATTAAAAATACTGACTTGAAAATAGTAATGCGGGAGAGTAGTCCATTTTAAAGTCGGATGGCCGATGCATTTAAAATTTCATTCTACTGCTTTGAAGAACCCGAGATCGAATCCGAATGAATCGAAAAAGCCCTGGAATTTTTCAGGTAGTGGTCCGTCTGGATATGTCGGGCCCAGTCCCTCATCACTCGGCCGCCTCATTGTGGGCCTTCATTCATTTAGATTTATTAATGCAACAAGGTTACATGACCTGATGTCGCAAATGCATAATCAGGTATTATAATACAATACTGTATATTTGTTAGTTGGTTTTACAGACATAAAATAACAGTACAGTATCGTTGTAAAATTGCAGGTTTTGATATTTTGATATATGTTTTGATTTTACATGACAATTCTTGATAATTAAGTACATTTGTTGATTTACAAACATAGATAGAAATAACATGGATAATACTATGTACTAACAGCAATTGGTTGGCACATAGAAGTTAGCAAGTCTTTTTACAAGAAGAGTATTACAGATGTTTTACGTGCCGAGTTATATACAGGGTGTATCAGAATGACGTTTTAAAAATTTGGGAGTTTGTAGAGGATGAAATTTTGAACGTGTTGATATAAGGAACCTATAGCCGGAAATGTGATATAAAGTTTCTATAGCACTTTGCACATTCTATGTGGTCGGTATGATAAATGAAACAGCAGAATACAGTATTTATGACAAGTTTTATTGACAAAACAGCAGAGTACAATCAAATTGTACATTGAATCAGTGGCTGTACTACTTTAGAGTAAATGTTCAATGTGATGACCACCAACTTCGACTCACGTTGACTAGCTGTGTGTTCCACACAGCGCCAGTGGATGCAAGAGATGACCTGAAGGACCACAAACACTAAGTACACAACGTCCTGTACACAGGCTAAGTTAGACCACTGTAGTTGTGTGTTTGCAGACTTCCATTCGCAGCAATAACATGACGTCAATGGACGGAAGAGTAGCTACCAAAGTGAAGGGCGGTCAAGCACTTTCTACCGCTGTAGACACTTTAGTTCAAATTTCCAGCTATAGGCTTCTTATATCAAAACGTTCAAAATTTCATCCTCTACAATCCCCCAAATTTTTAAAACGTCATTCTGATACACCCTGTATACAAAGTATAATTAGAACATACCGTTACAAAGTATAACAATAATGTTACAACAGCTGATAAAATAAAGAGTTTGCTGTAAAACAATTAACAACAAAGCATAAATGCTATATTAACAATTAAATATCAAATATAAAAATCAAACCCGTAGCAAATAAAGTGTCTAGAACAGCAATGTTCCAGTTGACAGGAACATTTTCAATCAAAGTCTTTGAAGAATCCTGTATGAGATTGATACGTAAGAAAGCAGAGTAACACATATGATACTGTCACTGTGAACTTTTCATAAGTCCATGGGTATCCTCAGCACCACTAAAGTCCGTGAGTGAGAAGAGCTGCAAAAGTCCGAGGGTGTCCTTAAACACCACAAAAGTCCATAAGTGAGTTGTACCACTCGAAAGTCCATTGGATGAACCTCAGCACCACAAAGTCCTTGAATAGTTTGACATAAAAGAAAGTGAAACCAAAAGTTGCAAAGCTGCACAGGAAATTGTAGGTCAAAACGTGCCATCGACAAGCATGGGTGATGTATGAAACAACATTCCACCAGAAATACATCAGTGAAAGAAAAGGATTTTAACAGTGAGGAAACTCAATGGAATGCAGTAACTTGAAAATATTTTTCAATTAATATAATGTTTTACTATATCGCCCAGAAAATTGTTTTTCGCCCCCCAAAATATAAATTGTTACTAATCGCCCCCTCAACGTGGAAAAACGCCCACATGGGGCGATATCGCCCCCGTTGAGAAACACTGGTGTAGATGATAATTGCGCAGTTTGTAGGAGAGATTTCGTTAAACCTGGACTTAGTATAGGTATGTTCGAACGGTATGTTTTCTTCCCAAAATTCTGCGTCAAAGACATTTGACAGTATGGCAAGATGGAAGCCACATTTAATTTTCCATATCCTCTGCACATGAGTGATGTATTTATCAATTGATGGTTTACGAGCAAGTATTTGCAGACTTGGAATTGGGGTGGTCCTGTATGCTTTTGTAATTAACAGTAATGCTCGTCGCTGAGCCGAAATTAATTTCCGTCGCGGGTGTACTTTCTCTACTGCTGCACCCCAAGTACCACAACAGTACGTAAGTACAGGTATAAAGATACTATCGTATATTGCGCTCATGGCCATGCCACCAAGGCCCCAAGTCAATCTGGCCACTTTGGCAAACTCATGCATAATGAATCCTGTGTGCTCGGTGATGTGTTGAATATTTTTTGTTCCTTAATAGTCGATGATCGAGTATGATTTCAAGATATTTAAGGTCTCTCACTACCGCGATACGTTTGTTGTTCATACGGAGAGTTGGAACACGTGCGTATATATTACGTTGTCCGGGCTTGTTAAAAAAATGGGTTCGGCCAGACCCACAACGGGCCTAGCCGAACCCATAATGGGCTTGCTAAGAGAAGCCTTCTTAGTGACCACAGGGCGGTGAGAGTTAAAAAACCTACCCTCGATTCGGCCTGCCGAACTCAAATGGATTAGATTAATACAGGTCTTAGTGCCTACTTAGCGGAAAAAAGAGAAAACATTAAAAGAAATTAACCTAGCAGGGATGAAAATAATTAGGGGTGCCGACTTCTCGTGAGAAAGGGGCGAACTAAAAAAAAAATCCCGAACAGTTGCGACCCTACATGCCCTATTAAAAAATGGTCAAAGTATAATTCTTATAACCATAACTTTTATTTTTAACCAAACTATATGTATAGTATAGTACTTAGAGATTGATGATTCCATATGAAAAATAACAAGTGTACTCAGGCATTAGAATTTTGTAATTTGTTAATTTAAAATCTTTGTATGCAAACACATTGCTGAAATGTGTAGAAAATATTTGAATAATTTTAAAGTTAAATATTTATAATTTTATTAACACGACCACACGCGAGAGAATATTCGATTGTTTCTTTGGCGACCAACGATAAGAAATTTTCAGTGTTGGATTTTGCAATACCACCATATCAGTGAAACAAAGGTCGCAGAGAGAATACTAAAATATTTGGAATTTTAAATGTTTTTTTTTTTTTTTTTATATATATATTGCAGGTTGATGTTGGGATTTTTAATAACCACGACATTCCTTTCCATGTGGATAACCAATACTGCAGCTACGGCCATGTTAGTTCCGATTGTAGAAGCTGTGGTTTCCGAATTGGAAACCGAATTAAAATACCAAGAAAAAATTCGCTCCAGCATGGAACGAGGTGCATAAAATTGCATAAAACTATTATTATTTGAATATATTTTGTGTAACTATCATCATTGTTCCTATTTCAGTATCCATCATAACCATTCAAAGCATTAATCTTCAGGGAACGAAATTTAGTCTCACCGAAAGTACAACTCAACGACCTTCAATAATAAAGTACATAAAATTTAACAAAATTAAATAATGATTTTAAAATTTTGCAAATTTAATTATATTTTACATTTAGTAATCCAAAAAAGCTGGAAAAAACTACATCGAATTTGCGAAAAGCTCTGTTTCTGAGCGTTGCCTATGCTGCAAACTGCGGAGGAACGGGAACTTTAATCGGAAGTGGTCCAAATTTAGTTTTCAAAGGTGTTTTAGAAGAGTAAGTTTTATAAAAAAAAAATGAATTATAATTGTGATGACAATTGTTTAAGATTCTTAATCGTTCAGTTCTTTTCCAAATTACACTTCTTTGACATTTGGTACGTGGATGTTATATAATGTTCCCGTGATGCTCATATGGATCATACTCTGTTGGATACTTCTGCAGATTTATTACATCCCATTTCGGTAAAAAAATATTTTAATAAGTATAAAATTTTATTTAAAAACGAAAATTTATCAGAAAAACTTAAAAATCCAAACATATTTTCCAGTAAAACTGATCAAAATTCAGGAGAATCTAAAGAAGTTATTAGAAATGTAATCATTAGAAATTATGAAAAATTAGGATCAATGAGGTAAGTATAATTTTTATTTTTTAATTAAAATAACTTTGTATATTGTATTATGTGATCAATTTGTTCTGGGATCGAATGAATTGAATCGGTTCATCTAATTGCATGCATTGCGTACTTCGTGTAATTTTAAAATGAGACAATGTACGATCTGAAGAACCTCTGATTAAAGATATTTATAGAATCATATAGTGAATGGATTAATCATGCCAAAGAATCCTGTATATGTATACACAAGATTCAAATACAGGAGGGTCTGACCCACAATGAGATCGGTTAGAATAATTAAGTAGCAGTAACAGTGTCCCCGCTTAGAATTGTTCGTGTAATTGACGGATCAAATTCGAATCTGGACTGTTCACTGGATTAGAAAGATATTTTACTAGAGTACTTTCTATTGAAAGAAACTAAAATTGAGCATTAGGTAATGTAAAAATAGAAAAACTTATAGTAGGTCTCCCATCATTTACCATTAGATTGTAAGAAATCTAAGGCCTGCAATTTTTGGAAGCGTGGCCAGTATATCTCAAAATACGATGGCATTTTTTCCCATTTTTGGCTCATCTTTCCATGAGCACCGAGTGTCTTTTACTACGCACATCACGGATTCGCCAGATCCACAATGGGGGTGGCCTGGTGTTGAGGAATGGGCGACATATCCGAAACAGGTTACCCATGAAAATTTCTTGAGGTTTCTCATCCAAGTTCAATCCAAGGTCGCCAGAGTATTTGGCTTAGAAAACTATACTTTATTACATGAAATGTGCTATATCTACGTATTATTTTTATTGTTGTTTACACACACACACGACAATGTATTCATTGCTTAATAATTGTCATTTTCACACAGTAAATACTTAATGTCAACTTATCAGTTGTGTTCGCGTATACCCAAAATTTTCATCTAGAACTTCTCCAAAAATATTAATAAAATCCTCCTCAAGTGGCGGATTTTATTAATATTTGACTTTATACATTTGAACTTTTTCAGTTTTCACGAATTTGCAGTTATGGCATTGTTTCTTTTACTCGTTTTCTTATGGATTATGCGTGATCCTCCATATCTTCTCGGCTGGGCCAGACTAATCAACTCTGGAGTGTAAGCATCTTAAATTTCTTAATAAATGCTTAAAGATTATAAATAATTTTTGAAGTTCTAAAATAATTTTAGGAAAATAAAAGATGCTACACCTTCTATCGCAGTGGCCATGCTTCTTTTCTTGATTCCTGCTAAACCTACCCAACTTTCTACGAGTCCTCCCTTACTAGACTGGAAAACTGCTCAAGCCAAAGTGCCATGGGGCGTATTGATATTGCTAGGTGGTGGATTAGCTTTAGCAGAAGGAGCAAAGGTACTATTCATAATGGACTTATTGTAAATTAAATATATAAATCAAGAACTGCATTAATTTCTTTTAGGAATCTGGTCTGTCTGTCTGGCTTGGAAATCAATTGGTTTATCTGAAGTACTTATCTATTGATGGAGCAATTATAGTCTTGTGTATCTTCACAGCTGCTCTTACTGAAGTTATCAGCAATATGTCTATGGCTACAATTATGTTACCTGTTGCAAATCAAATGGTAAATATTCAAATTTTAAGTACATTATAGCAATAAAATAAAACATCTTTTGTTATTCTTAGGCCGCAGTGTTAAAGGTTCATCCTATTCTTATAATGTTGCCTGTGACGATTTCTTGCTCTCTTGCATTTATGTTACCAGTCGGTAATCCCTCAAATGCTATAGTGTATGAGAATACAGGAATGACCACGCCAGAAATGGTATGTTTCAGTTTAAGGTTTTCAATAATTTAATCACAAATTTACTTCTTCCTGTGCTATTATACAATAAATCATGCTGCCTATTTTTCGTAAGTTGAATTCAGCAAAAACCAACTGATGATGTTAGTATTTGGTATTGATTTTTAATAAAACAACACACTATTCTTTCCTATGGATTACCTGCAAGTTACTTATATTTAAAACTATTCTGAGGCAAATGTAGGCTTTTCCATTTTTAACTCTGACCTGTGGTCACTGAGGACCAGACTTACAATGACAGGGCCCAACATAGTTGGAACTAGCACCTATGAAAATCTCAAGATTGCTGTTTGGACTCAATCCTGGGTCTCCCAGATTGGTAGATTAATGCCTTAACTGCTTTGGTCATAGCACAGATTTTAAAACTAAGCCACTATTTAAATGTATTGGATACTTCAATTGGATACAGCAATTGGATACTTCAAAAAAATGTGTTACATAATTACCAATACAATTAAATGCAGCAAGGTAAACAAAAGCAGATTTACTTCTAATTTACAATTTCTCAAATCAACTTAATTTGTTTTCTGCAAAAATTTATCATAAAATTTTAATGTGAAATAAATTACACTATCCTTTATTTACAGGCTAAACCTGGATTCATTTTCAAAATTCTCTGCTGTGGAGTTGAATTATTAATGATTAACACATTTGGAGTGCATGTATTTCACCTGCACAGTCATTGGAATTGGGAAAATTCAACTGTGTCAAGTATGGCAACAACTTATGTGCCTCCTCTTAATCTATCAACTGTTATCTGATAAAATTTTAAAATCTACTAAAAGACAATTTTTATTATACTTTATATCTGATAAACATAAATTAAGAAATTCTGTAAAAATATTTGTCTAATGAATGGGAAATTATGAATATTTTACTCTCGTGTGTGCATAGTTCTGAATGAATCTAAATCCATACCGCTGGTAGCGTCTAATGAAAGACATTTGACATAATGAGGGATTTATGCATAAAATAAGCTGATTCAATTACCAAACATTTTACAATTTTCCTAGAAATAGTTAATTTTAATGTCAAGTTACATTTGAATATGTCATAGTAGTTTTAATTATATTTTTGGCAGAAGCATATATGCACATAGTGCAAGGAACTACTGTCTACAAATGTATCAGTGCATAAACAAGAGAGATTTTTCTCTATAATATGGTAAATTATTTTGATCCAAACTCTTCCCTTCCACATGTATCATAGTTATAATTAAGAATATTTGACAGAATAATTTGTATTTACCAATTATGGCACAGCTTGCCTTTATGGCTTGTGCCAAAAAACACCAACCAACCATATTCTATCAAAATACATTTTTAAATCCCTTGCTTTAAAGAATGCACTTTGATACACACTTAGTTTCTTACCATGAAAAGAACCATGATCTACATAGCAGGATTTCTATTTTATATGCTGACATATTAATAATCTTTACTTTGTTTCATCTCACATAAATTTAGAATCATGTCCTTTATTTCAATAAAAGGATTTTCAAACTACATTTATCAACTACATAAAGTGTTTTGTTACTCAAATGAAAATCAAAAATTTGATGTATTATTTTGGCTCCTAAAAGATTAGAACTTTTAAGTATAACAAAATTATATTTGAAAACAAATATCTTAATTTACAGTTTAAATATAAATTACAAAACTAATCTAATTTAAATTTCAAATTTTCTGAATGTCATCTTATTTATAAATACTGATTATTATTAAATAAAAATTTTCAATACAAATTTCCTATCATTATCAAATAGCTATACTGTTTACAACTGACTTTGTATAAAATTTTGTATGCAGTATTTATTCATTCTTTTCCTTTAAACTAAATTTAGCATTTACTATTTTATTTAAGTTAAAATTTAAAGAATCTACTCATAAAATTTACAAAATTAACCGTGTTTAATTTTGTAAGATTTCTTGTTTGAGATATCATAATTACAATCAAATATACTTTTATTTAAGAATAGTAATATTTATTACATATATATTTCAATAAATCCTCTGTTCTATCTACAAAGGTTATTCTTGAGATGCGTGCACCTATAGTTGAGATGCATTAAAATTGCATCTACAAAGTGTAACATCATGTTTATTTACAATATTTCTAACATTATGCAATATTTATCCCAAAATTTAACATTTTTTTTTTCCGTCTTTCTTGGATAATGTGTGTTAACAATTTTGGTTCTGTAATTTACTAAAAATGACAAGTGATGGTGACTTAATGCAAGTGTAATGTCATTCATAGTTTAAACTAATGTACAACAAAAGGCACTTGATATATTAAATCTTTTAAGAAATTAAAATGGAAATAAATGCTCTCAGTTTTACTATATTTATGCCATTTTGTAGTTCAAAGAGGGAAAGACTGTAGTGGAAGTAACAATAAGAGCATCTTCATCACACTTTCAAAAACACTCAACTATATATTATAAAATTAAATAATATAGCATTCAACTTTAATCTGAAGACAGTTATCAGAAGAAAAAGAATTAAAATAAAAAGGGTATGTCCTTAACATATGGAATTATTCTAGTACTGATAGAAAGAAAGAAACAAAGTTACAATATACTTCAAGAGAAAAAAGTTTAGGAACAACATTTAATAATAAAATAATTCAACCTTCTATAGTAAATATATAGAATGGTTTATTTTACACTATTCAGAAATAAAGGAATAATGTAAAATACTTTAAGATATAATGAATAAACAAAATATATTTGTATATAAAGTAATTAATAAAGTTTTGGTATATCGTATAGGAAGATGCATTGACTTTTATGCTTTAAAAGTATGAACTACGCGCACAACATACTGTCTGCAGATGGGACATTCATGCAAGCGTTTCCCACAGTCTGTACACGTTGTCATGTGACCACATTCTAGGAGAACTGAATCTATCGGATGTTCCATACATATTTTGCACATATTTTCATCTGGAACAGTATCAATATCTGAAAGAAAAGTTTATTAAACAGTTATTAACAGTTTTATAAACAAACAGACTATCAACTTGTAAAATATTATATTCTATATTTTTAAAGATATATAAAGTAAAGAAAAATTGGAAATAATAAACAGTAAGTTTATGATTTAGGAATAGTTTAATGCCATTAGTTTATTTTAATGTAAACAAGAACATAATTTCATATTTTGAAATCATTCAGCACAATGAAGGATTACTAAAGCAGTCATTAATTGGTAAAACCAGATCATCTAACAAGTATATCATTTTAATTGTTTCTGCATAATGGAACATTTATCAATTAATATTTAATTTCACAGTAGTAATATGTATCATACTAGCCTCATCTAGCCTTAAATTTGATATTAAAAAACTTTGAAAATGAAAATAATAAAGATTAAAAGGATAACACATTTAGTTTGTTTGAAAGATAAGGCAAAGAACCATCATTTATGAGACAGGTAGTTTAATTTCCAAATTGGTATATGGTAACAAGTAGCAAAGAATATCACTAATCAAAGAATATCACTAAATTCAAAGATCAATGGTACTGAAATATTCTGAAAGTAGATATCATATTACCTTATTTTTCAAACAAACTATTTTACATCTTTCTGCATATCGCCCCAGAAATTTTTTTATTACCATATACAGGTATACCTCGCCTTACGTCGGTAATTGGTTCCAGGAGAACGACATAAGTCGGAAAACGACGTAAGTTCGAATTTACTTGTCTCCGAATCTACTTGTCACTAGGCTAAACCATAAATTACCATTCCTGGTTTTGTATTTTATTTATTAATGCATTTTTAATAATATATGGTTAATAAAAAATCTATTTTAAACTTACAAACAAATAAATTTTAGTTTTTAATATAGTACAGAAAAAAGTATTCGAAATTTACGAATGCATGTACTGTAAATACAGAACATACTAGTATATATTTTAATATTATTTTATGTGCTTTAAACGTTTTTCTAGTGATATTACGACTTCAATATGTGGCGGACAGATGTAAAGTCGAATAAAATGACTTAAACTTGATATTTATTTTTCCATATACTTTTTTGACAAACGACGTATAATCGGGAACGACGTAACTCGAAACAACGTAAGTCGAGGTATGCCTGTATATTAAGTTTGATAAATCACACAACTCTTTAGTCTGTTCTTAATTGTTTTTAAATCAAAAAATTCTACAAAAACTAAAATACCAGCTTGAGATCAGAACATACCTATTTTTTGACTCTTTTTTTGATTCCATAAACGTAACACTCTATCTTGTAATTCATGCTTTTCACAACATCCTCTATAGTCTACAAAACTTCTGGTTAGAATCAACTTTAATTGCCTAACACTGAGATCTGATATTTGTTCAGGATTTACTACATCTTCAATACTCACTGGCTTAAAACAATCATCATTCTAAATGAAAATTTCCATAATTTAGTACCGAAAAAACATTCGAAAGCAACAGTTTAAACATAATAAAAACTTACTATCTGTTCTTTAGAATTGTATAAGGAATTAAGAGCTGAAGCAGAAGCAATATTTTCGTGCTGTAATGGAGGAGATTGTGGACACGATCTCGATACATTTTCCTCGGAGCCACCATTCTGAAATAAGAGAGATTTTTTTTTCCCATTAAATAAGAAAGATTTGAAATCTTTCATGGATAAGACAATAGAACTAGACTGGAAACATTTCTATCATATATAGACAGAAATAGCATTATTTAAATTCAATAATATAAAATTATTACTTACACAAAAATCATTATATTCTAATTGCTATTTCAAAGATAACAATTGTCATTTCACATATCAAAAACAATTGAAGATCAAATATTGAATTGTGTAATAACTTCATTTGGACTTTGACAATGTATAGATTTTTATCATAATTACTTGATGACGTTTATCATATTTAATCTGTTTTTACAAATATTTTCAAAACTTAAAAATAATGTTATATATATAAAACTATGTCAAAAGCTAGTGGAAAATTACACACACTTTATGAGAATTTAAAAGTCAGTAATGTTGCACTGCTAGCAATCACTTTTTTCCCTACATTGACAAATTATATTCCAAATGGTTTAATAATATATTTTAAAATGTATGAAACAGTACTTATCAAAAACATTGCCAAACAATCATCTGTATTATCAGGCTATAATAAAGCTAATTTAATAATTAGATGTAAAGTTACTATCATTATTATAGCCCAATAATATGGCACATCATTTGGCAATACAGTGGGTGATCAGTTAACGAACACCTCACAGGACAAACACAAGAAGCGACTCTGCGTTAAGATTTGTAAAACTATTTTAATGGCATCTATACATGGTTTATGGAATGAGACTTTCACAGTTGTATACATAACCATTTTTGCACTAGTTAATTTCTGTTCTCTGAATTTTTGTAAGTGTTTTTCTGAACCTTTAATTTAAAAAACAATTATTGTTATAGGGCTTTAAAAGAGTGGAGTGTCAAGAACTCTGTTCACTGTAGAAACTAAGCAAGAGATAATAGCCAAGGTAAAAAGTGGTCAGATGATGTCTGATATTGTAGGCATATGACTTCAAAACAGGTCTACAGTAGCTAAATCTTATCTAAGAAAGTTACAATAAAAAAGACTCAAGCTGCTAAAGGAGTAATGAAAATTGCATCTGAGAAACAAGATATGCCATCCATGAAAAATGAAGAGATTGCTTTTAGTTTGTTATTACATGTAAATAAACATAGTAAGAAAGTATATAATTATTTATTTTTGTGGGTCTCCAGAATAAATTAATCAAATTCCCACAAAAATCTATGGTAAATTGATAATCAGTTAACAAACAATTCAGACAGTGAACATAGTCTTGGAATGGATTATGTTCATTAACTGATCACCCACTGTACTTAAAAGAAGGTTTGTGGATTTATTGTATAACAATGTTAATATTTCTATGCAGAAATTACATTTACTATGTAGACAGTTATTTATAAACATTCTAAAGATGTTTTTAATTCAATACTAGAACTTTTTAAACAAATTCTAGAAAAACAATGTTAATAAATACTGTAAGGTAACATTATTTAGGTCTTAATAATACCAATATTAACTTTATCATGTTAAAAATAGCAAAAACATACACATTTCTAAAATGTTGTTTTTAATTTTACAAATTAAAGTATATAACATGATTGACTTAATTTTGAAAACATGTTTTTATCTAGATATATATAAAAAAATATAAGCAAACAAACAATTATATGTTGTGACATGGTCACAACGCCAGGCTGCAATTTTTAATTTATTTAATTTAATATATATGCTCTCCACCTCAAATTAGTAGTGGCTTGCACCCCTGTACGTCGTACTTTTCCTTTAATAAAGTCATGCCGGTCATCTATCTAACACAGTGATTCTCAACCTTCTTAATGCTGCCACCCTTTAATACAGTTCCTCACGTTGTGGTGACCCCCAACTATAAAATTAGTTTTGTTGCTACTTCATAACTGTAATTTTGCTACTGTTATGAATCATAATGCAAATATCTGATATGCAGGATGTATTTTCATTGTTACAAATTGAACATAATTAAAGCATGGTAATTAATCACAAAAACAATATGTAATTATATATTGTGAGATATTTATTTCTAATTACAAATAAATGAAATTTTGTCTTGAAGCATAGGTAACAGTCTTAATATAACAACAGTAAATTGCATTACTACATTTTACAAAAGATTGCGTAAAAGCCAACATCAGTGTGAAGGTTGAGATTGCTTCTTTCTCACCAGATCAGAAATTCTCAGGGAAGTCTTTGCAAGAGCACAATGAAGATCATCTTCCACAACAAGTCTACTTCTGTATTTAGACTTGATAACCAACAAGCTGGAAAATCCTGTTTCACAAAGATATGTTATTAAATGGAAGAAGGCACAACACAGTCTCAGACAAAACAGGATATGACTGCAAACAATTGATCCAGAATTTTGTAACTAGCACTGTAGAAAAATCAGTTCTCGCTGCATCGCTGTTAATAAGTTCAATTAACTCCTCTTGTGCTGTCTCAGGAACATTTTCAACTTTGATCGTGAATGGGCTTCTGGAAAGTGCAAATGAGGTGTCAGATAATTTGGAAAGTACGATGAAACTTTGTCTGTAAGCATGTGCAAGTGTTCTTTCACAGAAATGATCATCATAATCCTTTTGTCTGGTTCAATGTCATGTTCCTCAAAGAAAGCAAATAAGGTAGGTAACATGTAAATTTTATTCTCATCCAATTGTTTTTGCTAAAGCTAAAGTTTCATTTGGAATGATTGAATCTTTTCAGAAGGATTGAGACATGTTGCATTTGGTCCTTGCAATGATAAATTTAACTCATTCAAGATGGCAAAGATGTCAACCAAGTAAGCTATTTTCTGCAGTTCATTTTTATCGTTGAAAAGTGCTTCAAACTGCAGTCTTGCTTTCTGATTAAAAAATGTTTTGAGTTTATCATGAAGCTCAAAAACATGTTTTAAAACTTTTCCTCTCGACAACTATCTCATTTCAGTGTGAAATAGCAGAGCATCGTTCGGCGAATCCAACTTGTTGCACAGTTGTGAAAACAGTCAACTGTTTAAAGTGCTCACCTTTACAAAATTGACAGAACTTATGATGCTTTTCATTATTTCTTGTAACTCTTGTGACAGCGTCTTCATTGCTAATATTTGCCAATGAATCATACAGTGAGTTCCGATGACTTTTGATGACTCATTTAGTACAAAATGTTGAAATCCAGATCGACATCCAAGGAGTGGTGTCTCGGTTCCTCAGATTATCGGAAATATGTGTTTTCCGATGGTCTTAGGCAACCCGTGAAAGGATCACTCGACCCCCAAGGGGTCATGACCCGCAGGTTGAGGACTGCTGATCTAACACCTTACTTTAATATTAAATTAAAATATAGGACACAAAGGCATAATAATTAATACTTGATTTTTTTAATATATTAATAATTACTGTAAATAATAAACAAAAAAGTACAACCTGTCACTATATGTGATTTTGAGAGTTTGTTCTTAAACTTGTAAGTTAATTAAAATTAAAAACGGGCCAACAGTATTTACATTAGTATATGAAAAATTTATATACATTGAAGATACAAAATTGCCTTCAACTTCTGTCATTTTTATCCGTTTACATTTTTTTGCAGAGGCAAAGCTTCAAATAAAAATTCATCTCTAAGTGAAAATTGTTTTCAGTTTGTCACTGGTGATTATAAATAGCAAAGATTACAATTTTATCTTACAATATATTTATTTTTTATGTTTTAATATGTATGTTACTACAATTGTCACTGCTATATAAACTTGTCATATATATACATACAAGGCCTATATAAGGTTAGTGAACTTTTTATTGATTAAAGTCTTGTTTAAAGATTAATTTATTGTCACTGCTTTTGGTGTATATTGTGAATGTAAAAAATAATAAAAAACCCTTTAATACTTTAGAAACTATTTAATTAAAACCAGTGCTACTTTTCTAAAAAGTTAAGTAAAATTTTCAATGCAATCATTCACTTTTTTAGATACTATCAGATGAATAATTACTATAAACTAGCTATAATATAACTTCAAACTGCATCAAAACATTACTACCATACTAATGTCTTCACAATTCCACACTTCATTTTCAGCATCAGTAGCAAGATTATCATTTTTTTTGTAAAAAAAAAAATGATAATCTTTATTGCCTAGAAAATCGATTTTACTCTGGTGACCACTTATTTACATAAAAACAAATAATTTCAACGTTAGTGGCAAAAAAGCCATTTTCCAAAGAAGTGTACCATAAAGTACGTGTTTGTTCTAATTTAAAGAAATTGAGGCACTCGAAACTGGAAAATTATATATTAATTTTTACAGGTGATCCACTCCGACAAAAATAATTTCCAAATTTTACAGTTTTTTCGCCCACATTGCACGTGCCCTATGCTCCCCTGCCGGTGTTTCTTTTCTTTTTTGATTTCTTTCAGCACGAGATACCGAACACGATGAAACAAATTTTCTATGTTGTACATGCTATCAGAAAAGATAATGGTGGATGGAGATTCCACGTAATGTTTCATTCGTACTGGTATAAGCAAAACCTTCGTGAATCCTATGATTTTAAAGCCGGAGAACATTCGTGTTAGATACTAAGGGATATATTTAAAAGACGAAATTGAATGAATTGTGAATACGAAATGAAACTATTTTTTACATCCTAAACTTTTAAATAGTGTAGCGATATTAAAACTACTCTGGCCTTTCAGAAACTGGAAATTCACATAAGTTATACACGCAATAAGTTTAAACAGTTAAAGAAAACTGAGAGTAAATTAATTTACAAAATTTCTTTGAATTTATTCATTCTTACTTTTGGAGCATATTTTTAAACTGTCTTTTTATATTTGATTGATATTGTCTGAATTGTTGAGTCCATCAAATATGAAGTCATAACATCATTCTCAAGCAAATTGCAAATGATGTTGATTACTTCTGTCATTGCTTGTACTTATGATCAATTTATTATAATTCTAATATTTGCTACCAATGATAATATGGACAACAATACACAAATAGAAATGACAATCAAATAAATCATTTCTTAATAGTGTTGCTAATATACCATAAGATAAAATACAATCTCATAACATTGCCATAATGCATAAATTTGTTAATAATGCTTCTTTCTAAGGATCTGAAATTTTGCTTTCCTCAAGATTCAAGTTTAACAGTATATACATACTATAATGGTCTGGTAAAAAGCAGCACTGATTGAGAAGAACATTTTAGGCATAATTTATGAGCCATCTTCAAAGTTACATATTATCTGTGGAAAATTAAAGAAAAAGAATCAAATAAGAAAATATTATCATTTAAATCTTGATCAGATTTCAGAAATCATTGTTATGCCAAATTTTGTCAAAATGTATGAAATCTGTAAGCAGAAGGCTATAGTAACTGAAATTTTAACATTTTCCATTTTGGTTTCCATTTAAATCTTGCTCGATTTGCAATTTAGTATAATTAAAATTTATAATTTATTTGATCAAGATTTAGATGACAGTATTCTTATACTTAATTTTTTCCTTTGATATTTTATAGGAGTATTTGATCTAAAGATGACAAAGAAAAGCAAAATGTTACTTTTAATTAAATATTTACTGGAATACACTATATTTTTTGTCGTCTTCAATAGTTTAATAAAATTAAAATTTAGTTATACTGAATATCTTCAAATAAAATGATTCAGTTCTTATCACAATTGTTATTGATTGAAAATTATGTGTATTAAATTTTTCTAAATAAAATTTTAAAATAAGCTTTCATTTATTATTTAAATGTTTTTCAAACTTAAAATACAGTCAAAATTCTCTCTCCAAAGTCCTTAACATGCAGGCTGTGAAATCAGTCAGAAGCAAATTTATTAGTTGGATCAACTCAAACTTTTCTTAATATAAAGCACAGTACATTATTATGTACTGTATTTTATATTAAGCTCCTAATGGGAGTTTGATATCTCGCATTGCAGAAGCCTCCTGTAATGCAAGATTGTATTTTATGATGATTCCTCTACTTCATGATCTTTCTTTAAATATCACTAATTACTATTGATTTTCTTTTTTAGAAATCTGAATACCTGTTGTGTTTGCTAATTCTAAATTTTTATTGTCAAAAGACTCATACAAAAGTGGCTAAGAAAACTTGTAAGAAAGTGTTTTTGAATATTTTAACTATAGAAGGAAAATACTATGTCTGTCAATGTATGGTTGAAGATGATGATAACAGTGATGATAATGAGAAACACCGCAGAAAAAAATAAGTACCTTGATAGGAATGCCTAATGATTTCCTTAAAAAATGCTTAAAAACAGCCTAATGATTTACTTGATAGTGATAAAATGCCATTCTGAGTTAATATAATCAAAGTTTATTTTAAATTGATATTTAGAAACAGGAGTCTGAGTATAACCTTCCAAAAGTTTGAGTCAAAGGTTTGGTCTAAAGTCCACAACCCTGTTAACATGTACAGTACAAATTGTCTGTTTTCAAATGGAAATTTTTATTTTAAAAAATTTGAGTAATTCTTGCATTTCTGTTTTTAATAAGGTGAAAGATTAAGTTGACTCATAACAGCACAATTAAAAATGCAGAAAATATATTTTCTTCTTCAGAAAAGACATTTTTCTGAGGAGCTCATCAATCTTTCCAAAATCAAACATGCAAAAATCAAATAGAAATGACGAGGAAGCTTGCATTTGTATCAAACCAATTAAGAATCAGAAGAAAAAAATGTAAAAGAAATATTTTTCCAGTGCTCACTAATCTAGCTTGTAAAAGTGTAAAATATTTTGCCAAAACAATTTTTATATATACAGAAAAAATAAAAAACTAAATAGAAACATTTTAAAATACTTTATTCCATACATTACCTCTAATAATTAAATTTAGTTCAATAACATTTAAATTTCAATACTCACTCTAAAATCTCTGTAATTTCTCGAAGGACCTGGACTGTGAGGAGCACTACGACTTCTTAAAGGAGATGTGTAAGTATTATTATATCTTTCCGAATTGGAACTGGACATTGGAGTATTGTGAGACCTATTGTAGACTGGCCGAGATTCCACGAAGTAACTTCCAGAATGTAACATTACTAAGTCAACTAGTTCTGACTTTTCTCGACAACCGTGTACAGAAACTGCCAATCGTCCCAGATACCATTTTAGATCTCTGATGCGTAAATTATTAACTGCAGTTTTGTCAAGAGGAAACGAAAAAAGAACTTTACATCTTCTGCATCTTTGGTGTTTATCTGTTCCTTTCACTTTTATAATACATGATGAGCAAAAGTCATAACTGCAGTCATTACAGGTTTTCTAGCAAAAAAAAAAAAATGTTAGAATATTTTAATATTAAATCAATTAAATATATAAATTTACATATATTTTTTGAATATTTTTTACTTNTAGTAATATTTATTACATATATATTTCAATAAATCCTCTGTTCTATCTACAAAGGTTATTCTTGAGATGCGTGCACCTATAGTTGAGATGCATTAAAATTGCATCTACAAAGTGTAACATCATGTTTATTTACAATATTTCTAACATTATGCAATATTTATCCCAAAATTTAACATTTTTTTTTTCCGTCTTTCTTGGATAATGTGTGTTAACAATTTTGGTTCTGTAATTTACTAAAAATGACAAGTGATGGTGACTTAATGCAAGTGTAATGTCATTCATAGTTTAAACTAATGTACAACAAAAGGCACTTGATATATTAAATCTTTTAAGAAATTAAAATGGAAATAAATGCTCTCAGTTTTACTATATTTATGCCATTTTGTAGTTCAAAGAGGGAAAGACTGTAGTGGAAGTAACAATAAGAGCATCTTCATCACACTTTCAAAAACACTCAACTATATATTATAAAATTAAATAATATAGCATTCAACTTTAATCTGAAGACAGTTATTAGAAGAAAAAGAATTAAAATAAAAAGGGTATGTCCTTAACATATGGAATTATTCTAGTACTGATAGAAAGAAAGAAACAAAGTTACAATATACTTCAAGAGAAAAAAGTTTAGGAACAACATTTAATAATAAAATAATTCAACCTTCTATAGTAAATATATAGAATGGTTTATTTTACACTATTCAGAAATAAAGGAATAATGTAAAATACTTTAAGATATAATGAATAAACAAAATATATTTGTATATAAAGTAATTAATAAAGTTTTGGTATATCGTATAGGAAGATGCATTGACTTTTATGCTTTAAAAGTATGAACTACGCGCACAACATACTGTCTGCAGATGGGACATTCATGCAAGCGTTTCCCACAGTCTGTACACGTTGTCATGTGACCACATTCTAGGAGAACTGAATCTATCGGATGTTCCATACATATTTTGCACATATTTTCATCTGGAACAGTATCAATATCTGAAAGAAAAGTTTATTAAACAGTTATTAACAGTTTTATAAACAAACAGACTATCAACTTGTAAAATATTATATTCTATATTTTTAAAGATATATAAAGTAAAGAAAAATTGGAAATAATAAACAGTAAGTTTATGATTTAGGAATAGTTTAATGCCATTAGTTTATTTTAATGTAAACAAGAACATAATTTCATATTTTGAAATCATTCAGCACAATGAAGGATTACTAAAGCAGTCATTAATTGGTAAAACCAGATCATCTAACAAGTATATCATTTTAATTGTTTCTGCATAATGGAACATTTATCAATTAATATTTAATTTCACAGTAGTAATATGTATCATACTAGCCTCATCTAGCCTTAAATTTGATATTAAAAAACTTTGAAAATGAAAATAATAAAGATTAAAAGGATAACACATTTAGTTTGTTTGAAAGATAAGGCAAAGAACCATCATTTATGAGACAGGTAGTTTAATTTCCAAATTGGTATATGGTAACAAGTAGCAAAGAATATCACTAATCAAAGAATATCACTAAATTCAAAGATCAATGGTACTGAAATATTCTGAAAGTAGATATCATATTACCTTATTTTTCAAACAAACTATTTTACATCTTTCTGCATATCACCCCAGAAATTTTTTTATTACCATATACAGGTATACCTCGCCTTACGTCGGTAATTGGTTCCAGGAGAACGACATAAGTCGGAAAACGACGTAAGTTCGAATTTACTTGTCTCCGAATCTACTTGTCACTAGGCTAAACCATAAATTACCATTCCTGGTTTTGTATTTTATTTATTAATGCATTTTTAATAATATATGGTTAATAAAAAATCTATTTTAAACTTACAAACAAATAAATTTTAGTTTTTAATATAGTACAGAAAAAAGTATTCTAAATTTACAAATNGTTGCAAGGAACATTTTTTATCTAATAATTTTTTAATACTATTAGTTTGTGATACATAATATATTATTTTTTCTGCCATAATAACTAACTTTTTTCTGTACCCCTAAACAACCTATCGCGTACCCCTAGGGGTACGCGTACCACAGGTTGGGAATCGCTGGTCTAACTCATAGTACACTATAATAGATTCTGCTGATCACAGACTTGACAATCTATAGGAGAGGAGGAAGTAGTAACATTATTCATAAATAAGGGAAAACTATCTTTGATTCATATGCAAATCCTTCACAATATTATTAAAAATAAAGCATTGATTTTAGATAGGAAATATTTTACAAAACACCTTCAACTAAGCACAAAAAGCATTTGTTAACTAGCACAGAAGTAAAACAGCTAACATTTATTATTATATAAAAATAGAGTTTGAGTATGTGTGGAAGTATATGAAATTATTATTATTAAAATTGCAGAAAATACACTTGAACCTTTTCAAATTCCCATTATTAAAAGATTTATCAAAACATTAATCATCACATTTACACAATAACTCTGTAAACCTGATTAGTTTTAATTAGAGCCATATGATATGCTGAATTGTTGAGTTATAATAAGGCTAGTTAATAATTAGATATGAAGTAATTCATCTAGAGGTAGGCAGTAGGCTGCCATCTGAAGATAATTATTAAAATTATAATTAAATTTGCCGGGATGGAAGTGATAGCTGGCTAAGATCCGTGGAGGTGGGCAGCAGACACTGTGAGTGACCTACCTATGTGGTTATATTTAAATGAATAGTTCTAGAAGCAAAGAATGGATGGAAATCCAGGTAGTGTAACTCGCAATGCATCAGCATGGTAAGCAGGAGTTGTGGGTTCAAGTCCCACTCCAGACTGATTATTTTCTTCCAGAAATTCTAAATTAAAAATTAATTTATTATTAAAATTATCACAAGATGGCAGCCTAATTGCCCACCTCTAGACAAATTACTTCATATCTAATCATTAACTTAGCCTTAATATAGCCTGATAATTTGGCATATCATCTGGCTTTAGTCATCACATTTTTATCGGAATAGTCAGTGTGCAAAATCATTCTAGTAATTTATGCTAAATATAATGGGACAAACATTTTCTCAAAACTTACTTCATACATATTAAATATTAAAATATTTTAATATTAATACTTTAAGAAACATTAAATATTTAAAGTATTTCAGAATAATTTTTAGATTATCTAATTCAGACCTCTTTACAAAAAACAAATGAATTCAAAAATGTTTGAGCATACTTTCTATATATTTAGTTCTTATAAAACAGTAAATGATTTGGATTTTAATTTTAAAAAGTTTAAGATGCGAGAATAAAACAATTTACATTTTTTTAATACTCGAATCTTAAAACCAAATCTTAACTGTCAAATTGTTTATGACATAGATTATTGCCACGTAAACTAAGCGAAAGAAATTTAAAAAATAAGCAGTACAGTTATAAAGTCCAGAATATTTTACTGTGTTTTATAAACAAATCTTCTAATGCAAATGCTATAAATTTCCATCTTATAAATTTTAAAAAACCTACACTATTTCTATTTTTACATAATTCAACACAAACAATAATAGTTAATAGAAAAGAACTTGACATACCCTTCTCTTCAAAACTCCAAATTTTGTTGCACAATCTTCACAAGCCATTATATAAATAATATACACACAGGTGCTTTCTAAAAACAATATCCAAAATTAGTTTACACTATACAATATTCAATTTATTTTTAAAAAATGACAATATACAAAGTGATATAAAAATATTCTAAATTTGTTTCAAATTCATTATTTAATCAGATACAGTGCATAATGTTAATTTTTAAAATCACTGAAATCAAATTTAAAAAAATGTTAAATGGCATAAAACAATATAACTATAAACTGTTTTATGCTGTTTATTCTTTCTCTATTTTTATAATTACTCAAAGTAATTATGAAAACTTTTGTGATAAAACATAAGAACAAGCTCACAAACAAGCTTAAGACTTAATATAATAAGTATATTATTTTAATACTGAGTGAATTGGTGCACCAGTGGTGGTTTGTGGTTATCTAATGTGGAAATGCTGACTAACAATAACTACTTTACACAAGAAACTAATTATTATATTGCATTCATAAAATATATATTTTAAATTTAATTAATTTAAAGTTCAAATTTTTTGTCTTTCATATTAACATTTACAGGTCATGGAGGACCCAGAAACTAATTCCTATCACAGATCCTCCTACAACAGCACTATTAAATGATGCAGTTCTTTCTGAACCATTTCATTGTATCATAAGACATGTTCTCTATTCTCCTGCAACAGCATTGTTTAAATTTCATATACTATTTTGATCAGTTCTGGTTTTGATAAAAAAAAAAAAAAAAAACAATTAATTTTAATCATGTAAAATAATTTACATAATTACTACTGAATAAAAATTGAGGCATTATTTTGTGATTTTATTTTTTCTTGGGGTTTCTGAAATTTTGTAGTGCTTATCATAAGTTGCTGCTGGTATACATGTACACATGCTCCATGTTTTAAAAATTTAACTGTAAAAGATATTACAAAACAAAACAGTATTTCTATTAATTGTAACTTTGCAAGTTTGACAACTAAGTTCTAGGACTGAATGTAGGACTGAAACAATTAAAAAGCACACAGAAACACAATTCAATGCATCCACAATGACCAACCAATCTGAATACTTACCTCTAGAACACAATCTTAATACTTTCATTTTTCTTTAGGTAACAACACAAACCCATTATTACCCGATTGCAATATGGATATTAAAACAAAATAATGATCATCATAAATATTAAAATATATTCAAAAATCTCCCAAAGCATTCCTATTCCTGTTGTCAATTTTATTGATTTTTATCAATAAAACAATAGTAATTTCTTGAAATGATAACAATCATCCAGTTATACTATTTATATTGTAACTTTGCAAGTCTGATGAAAAAGTGGCAACATTAATATAACAAAACTAGGACCAATCAATGACTACAATTTTGATGTCATCTTCCACAGCTAATTTACACCCCCAATAGCATAGAGAAGTGCAGTTTGATTCATTTTGATATCTGTGCAACTGCAATTTGTTGCTAGCATTAGCAACATAAGATCTATATTACACTGGCTGTGTGTAACTCACATTTTAGCAAAAACTGCTTCCATTTGTGTTGGTATTTTTGGCATTAAATTTCTTAGATTACTTTGCATTTGGGATTAATTTAATATTTAATTTGTAATTTTTTCTTTTTTCTTGTCCTGAATGAATGCTAACAAATGTCCTCAGGTGGTAGACTTTATTGAACTTTATTTCACCAATATTGAAGACAAGGATGAAGTGAAACCATGTCTTGCATATGCTTTACTGTTTTATGCAATACTACCCAAAGCCAATCTAATGTGACAAGGCATAGAATACTGGCACCATTATACATCTTGTGGAATTCACAACCATTCTTCTGTTAAAATGATTGTCAATTGATTTTTTCCCTTGACTTTCTTTTATAATTTGTTTTTGAGAAAAAGCCATAAGTCTTCTATAGGGTTCATGTTTGAAGAATTGGGCAGCCTATCAATAACCTAGATGTTGTGGTTTCTTAACCATGTAGCTGTGGAAGCCGGAGTATAGGCTTTAGCATAATCCTGTTTCAACAGGAAGTCATCTTCAGGAGCCAATCAGTTGAGAGATGGAAAGGTGTGTCATTTAATAGTTTCTATTCATTAATTGCCTTTAACACTAATTCATAAGAAACTATTATCATCTACACCAGCAATGTTGAAACAACCCCATATTTGCATCTTAAGCAGAAACTTAACTTGCTGTTTGATGCAGCTTTTCTTCAGGTTTTCATTTGTCATTCTGCTGGCTCTGCAACCAGTATTTCTGCACAAGACTTCAAAATGCAAGTCATCAGACAATATGATTCAAGCTAATTCTGATCTGTCCAATGCATATGATTGTCAGCCCACTGTTATATCTTCTCCTGGGCATCTGTTAGCAGTGGTTTGCACTTGGCTTTATCTTCTCTTTGGGAAAATGGATTCAGTAGAATCATAGTGTTTAAGGAATGACTGGAACTGAGTATTCTAAAATGAAAAGGTTTCTCCCAATTTCTCTTATTGGGATACCTACTAAATATTCTTTGACAATCTACACCTGCTTTCATGAGATAGTTTGGCAGTACAAAAGACAGATGTTTGGACCTGCTGGATGTCAGTGCACTCATTGCTGCAATGTGAAGCAGATTATCCTGGTAGAAAATTAGAGGAATTGACAGGATAGTCACCATTGCTAGTATTACATGAACTTCATTAATTATTAATTTAGACATAACCATAACCAAATTTATAAGTTCTGGAAGCAGAAATTGGATGAAGGTCTGGGTAGCATAATTAGCAATGCAACTGCACAGTAAACGGGAATTGCAGGTTGAGTACCACTTCAGGCCAATTCTTTTCTTTCAGAACCTTGTAAATTAATTATTAATTTAATTATTAAATTTAGCAAGAGATGGCATCTAACACCTGCCTCTAGTGCCAAATCATTTAGCATTTAATTAATAATAGTTGTAGTAATATAGCATGATACAAATTGGCAATTATTTGGCTTTAATATATAACTATCAGTTTTGAATGTTTATATTTTCTTGTCTATATTTCTAAAAATGCTGGGCTAATAAAAGTGACAATACTATTAATTAATGTTTACTTATAATTTGTAAATACACAGAAATTAGCAGGTTTATATGTTAATCCATGCAATAATTTCAACCATAATAATAAAATATTTATTCAAGAATTAATAATTTTTTTATATAAAACATGTTTGGTTAGTATTNAACTCCCATTTGCCATGCAGATGCCTTTTCAGTTCAGTAACATCTGGCAATCGTTTGACATTATTATAAAAATGTATTATATACTTAAAAATACTTTATAGTCATGGTAAATCTAAATTGATTATTAAAGCTAGAGATTATAATCAATAATGATCTGATATCAATATACTGATATACATAGATATAATTTTGGCTTAAACACTTCCAATTCTATTTCCATAAACAAGTCAATTAATAAGCAAATTAATATAACAAGAATAAAATATATTAAATATATCATATGACATATATAACAAATGTCTTTAAAATCATAAAATAATTTATAATCTCAAATTTAATTAATTATTAATGGATGTAGAAACAATCAAACATTTTGAAACATTAGCCTTTCCTTTAATTAAATTATTATTGATTATTTAAATATAATCTTAATGTATAAAAGATGCCGTGTAACAGTGCTCAAATACATCTCTCTATACTGTAAGAGTGATAGTGATTTAATGCAATCTGTCATAACCATTTTCTAGATCACTCTTGTGATGTCAAGATATATTTTTAAATATATAAGTAAGCGCTAGATAGAATATTGTCTCTAGCACTTACTTTTCTTACATCTGATATTATCTAAGCATTAAAATCTGATATGCAAAATATTCTGCATATCAGATTTTAACATCTTTGCTAACAGTAGAGATTTAACTAGATATTCCAGAACAAAAATTTATGAATTTGAAGCAAAATTTGTCATGAATTTTAGCTTTCCTTTTTAAAGAATGCTGCAAAAAATAAATAAAATCTAATGTCTTGTCAAAAATATATTAAATGTCATAAAAACTAACTATGATTAATACCTTATACTTCCAACATAACTGAAGTTGTTATTATTACATGATTGATAGCATAAAATTAAGGTCAATGTCCAAAATATATGACATAGGTTATTATTAAATTGTACTAATCTTAGAAATTAAATTAATTTTGTTTTTCTTTGGTTTTAAAAAGAACTTTATAAAATTTTTACGGAGTTAAAATAAATATTTTGAAAAAACTAACATTTTTATTCAATAGTAAATAGAGTGTACAGAGAAAGTAGAACAAATCATTTTTAAAAGCTACACTTCCTTGATCTGATTCGCTCACTTGGAACAAACCATTCTGCAATAAAACTAAGATTATACACAAATATATATGCGTAAAGATACCGCATTCATCATATAACTCAAAATATATATGAATTAATTGATGCTAGAAGCAAATTGTTCAGCATTTTGTATGTTCACTAAGCAAAAAATATGACAGTGCTTCATTTTTAGAATGCAATTTCAATTAATGTTTTTGATCTTTATAAAAAAAAAAAAGACACGCAATGCTGCATTTAGTACGAGTCTCTTCAATGAATAATTTTTTTATATCAATTATTTTTCCCGTTATGATGGAATGTTACATTAAAATTAGGTCACACATTCACATAAATTCATTCTAAAACTAATTGAATTGTATTCAAGACATCAAAATATTGTTTTTACCAAAATTTTATTTCTTAATTTACAGGAAAATATTATAGGTTTAATATATAATATAATAGTCTTAATAAAAGTAATTGAACAATAAATATATCATAAGTAGAATTAAAATAATAAAACTATTTCTTGATTTTAAATTATATTATTTTAGCAATTCTATCTTGTAGTTTTAATAAAACTTACATAATATTTTTTCATCTAGAAAACCTCACTCAAACTCAAATTATCTGTTTTAATTAGGAAAATGCATTTCCCAATGGCAAAGATATAGCAAAAATGTATTGTAAATCTCATAGACACACAAC